TCATCGGGAATTTGTGCTGGATCTGCTGAACCTGCTAGAACTGAGCTAGACGGTGTTCCATGCGCTGTAGGCGGATGGCCGCTGACCTGACCACATAGCGCTGCCATATTGCAGAGCCGATCTGAGGCGTGCCTTGTAAGTGCTCATCATGAAACAAGGCTCGATTCACGCTGGACTGGCACCATGTGTGACAGCCCACACTGACCGCATCGTCAAAGTGAGGATGTTCGGTTCGCTGCACGCGATCTCGAAAAGACCGGGATTCACAAGCCAAATGGCGTTTGAATTCCCGATCATCACCATTGGGTAATGATCTTATGTTTGATAACTTATGTTTTAAACTTGTGGGGAACTGATAACATGATCTAATGTTTTTGGATCCACGGTTCGAATTTGATCTCTGAACTCACCTGCCCCTGCCGCATGTTACCAACGAGTGTCCTAGCAAGCACACACAGCCAGCCTGCCTCGATGTTTGCACGGCTCATCACATTTTGATTTGGTTTCCCCAGCTCACACAAAGGAAAAGCCGTTCACGACGGCACTCTGGTCCCGACAACAGTGGCAGCGTGACAACCTCAATGTCGACGAATCACAGTCCCACGACTGTCAGCATCTGGCTGACATAAGAAACCACCTCCGCCGTCTACACGTGGAGCATGAATCTTCATGAACCTCTAAGAAAATTATGGTGTCCTATTCGGTGGACACGACTGCGACTTCAGCGCGGCTCAAGAAGTAGGTCAGTCACAAGCTGCAAGTGCTGATGTTCGTTACGTTACACATGGATGCGTTGAATGGGAGCAGTCGCAGTCCTCCGACCATTTGGCCAGGCCACCGAGGTCCACATGGAGAGGGAAAGTGGTCAGGGTCTCGGGACACGACAGTGCATCTCAGTACCATCCATGAATATCTTGACCGCGCCTCTCACTTCCGGTAAATCACTAAACATTGAACAGGGCTGGTCCCAACACAAATCATTGGGGGTGACGTCAGTCCAGTAAGCTTTCGAGCCATAGACCCGCACTCTCTACTGTTGAATGGAAGCAGACTTTAACATTACAACTTTGTCTACAACTTTAGAGAGCTGCGAGATGTTGCAATAGATGCATTGTCCGGACTCAAGTGGCATGCTTTGAAAGGTCTCCCAGCATTTACAAACTGGCACGACATATGCTCGAGCTGACATGACAAAGAAAGATGAGCCCTTTTCACACTAGCATCATCAGACAGGGGTCTGATTTGATGTCAAATCCGAAATGTGCGAAAATCGGGATGAACCGTTCATCCCGATGACATGCCATGACGAATATTACCGCTGGCAGCGGTGAAATTCGTCATTTATCGTCAGGGCTATCAAAATAGACTGTGAATGTTACTCTGAGAGCGATACAAAGGTTCATTCAATGTTACCAACAGTGAGCATCCCGGTTGCAAGGCAACATTACTGAATGTTATACATAACGGTCTGCGGGCAGAACTCGGTCATGTGCTGTCCCATACACGCCCGTGGTTGTCTCTGTGGTGACGTGTTTGGTGACGAGGCGCCGGTCGGGGCTATGTCAGTCACGTGCTACCGGTCGGGGACTGTCCATGTGGTGGCATTACATCCGGCTGAGTGTCCGCGTTTGGCAGTGGTGGCGAAATTCAAGCAACAACGGCATCGCTTGTGCGTCTCATGTTGTATTTCATGCACTGTTGCGTCAATTTGAAAGTGTCCGCTTAGCTCCCTTTTTCAGTCTTGCTGAAAACGATGTGCACTTATTTTCCGGTGCGGTAATTTCCAGTTGCATTTGGCTAAGCAGTCTCGCATCAGGTCCAGTAAATCAGGCATCCCATTCCCCGAAAACGACATCTGCTCCCAGCATTGTCCGGCATTGCGGCGAACAATATCCGCTTCATCAATGGCCGATTGTTGACGGGCGTGCCCCTTAAAATGACCAAAGGCGATACAAAAACGTATTTTAGTTCATGCATTGTTTGTCGCTCTTTAGAACACGTAATGAAATGTCTTGACCTTTCTTTTTTTCCACTGCCTTGTGTGGCTGCGATCCACTGAGAAGAAAAGCCACCGATTTACAGGATGTGATCGGTGGCAAAAATGGGCGCTTTTGCGAGCTATTTGGTGACAAAAATGCAAAATTCGAAGCACATTGCTGCAGACCATCCCAGTTAGACGAAACTCAAAGCTAAGTACTGGTCAACATTTGCTAACGGTTGCAACGTGAGTTTGTATAGAGCACATGTGGAAACGTTGACGTTTCGCTGTGTGAGTAAGTTGAACCACAAAATGTTTCCAAACATAGAACCGGCATAGTTTTTAGCAGGTAACATATATATATATATATATATATATATATATATATATATATATATATATATATACTACAAACTATACTATAGTAGTGCTGACGTCACAGATCAGTGGTGACACGGTATTCTTCCGATGTCCCTCATATTAGTGCTTTTAACAAATTTTCAGGCAAGATTCACTTCACGTACTTAACAGTATAGGATATCAAATAGCTAGGCTCAGTACTAATCGTAATAATCGTGTCTAGCCTCAGCACATTGCGAAGACCGGGATCAGCCCGCTACGCGGCGTTTTAAACTGTCATGCCATTTGAGACTGATGGCTTCCAATGCTCGCTACGCAGCACTGCTATGGGTTCAGTGCGTTCAGTGCAAGGCTGTCAGTCGCCCTTTGTTGTGATTGTGTCGTGAGAAGCTCGCCAGCTTGAAGAACGTAGCTTCTTCTCAGTTTCTTTAAGGCGATGTGCCGGTCTTCTAACGATCTACCATTGATGGCGTCGTTGGTAGCAGCTTTAGAAAGCCTCGCCGATCTAGGAAGCTCGTTGTTTTTGGACGCCCGAACTGTACATCGAAAGACCAACGGAGGACGTTGAAGCGGCATATGTTGAGGATTCATCCGGGGCTTCCTGCTGCCGAGAGGAGCAGCGACTTTGGAGTGAGAGGTCGGATATCGCTGGCAAAGGCCTCGCACACTTCCTGCCGCACCGCTAGTTCGACGGACCGACCAAATGACTTGGCCCATGCCCGGCACGGACTGGTATACAACAGCTGGTATACAACACTCCTACTAGCTGGGGCCAGGCAAGGTCCCAGCTGGAGCCCAGCGCCTACCCAGGCTACGCCCATCCCCAAATATCTTACCAACATGTGCCCAGCTGTTACGACGGAAATTTCTTTTAACACATGTTCGAACTGAAGCGGGTGAGAGTCGCTTTCCCTTCAGAGACACAACAGCTTGGAACAGTGTCCGCCAGAAGTACAGCTGAGGCACATCGCGTGAGTTTTGAAGCGAACGGGGAAAAGGCATTCTCAACAAGACATCTGTCTGAGAGTATATGGAAAAGGCTGAGGACCATGGCCTGAAATGATGCATGGAAAGTGGCAATATTTGGTGTGACATTAACTGAAACGCATTTGATCTATCGGTAAAATTTGGGTGCGTCAAGATTGAGGACGTGCGCGTAAACGGGTTATGATAGCCATTTGTATTGTGGACGCTCTGTTCTTGGAGCACATTTGGAAACGCACAACAAATTGCCTAAGTTCATATGGTAACTTACGCGCAGATTTCACTCCTCAGTATCCTGGGCAGATGCAACAGCACCCCTTCAACTTCACAAAGCAGGCAATAAATGTGCGTTGATATATTAGTATTCATAAATATATAAATGGGTAGCCGGAACATAAGTGGACGGAATCCGAAAAGCATTTTGTACTGGTTTGCTTAGGATGACTTCCAAGACCCTCACCCCCCAATGATTTTAAGGAATTGACACCCATGGGTACGGGGTGCGGTTCCCCGCGATGTCCGCCCTTCCTCCCATGGTGGAGGCAGGCGACGCCATATAGCCCTATCAGCTGAGTGCGTCGAGAAACCTCAGGCGTAATAACCGTTTGGTATTGGTGGTATCTGGCCGACATGAGAACTATCATTGTCCCAGAGGCCCCAATCAGCGTCAGAGGCCCTCTGATTGACTTTTGAGCGTCCCGGCTCGCAGGACCAGCGCCTCTTAAAAGAGGACTCCGAACATGAAAGGTACTCCGAATGAACAGACACAATGACACTAGGGTGGAGAGATAGAGCCACTTGACTGAAAGTATTTCTGGAAGCGAATTTGACCAGTTTCTTTGGTGAAGTCCTCGCTACGCCGCTGTAAAGGTATGAACATGATTTATCACGGTTATTACATAAAGTGATTTGTAACCATACCTAAGCAAAAGCTATGCTGTGTAGAGTGTAGTTTCCCAAGATAGCTTGGAAGGTTGAGCTGAACAGCTAAAAACTACGAAATTTACGCCAAAACTGCGCCAACAATCGGCTTTCTTGCTAGATTTGGCCTGCTTCTTTTTCGAAATTATGGGGCTCGGGGTTAAAGACCAAGAGACTAAAGAATGGACTACATGCCTGACGCTATCCAAACCCTTCCTGTCCCTGTTAATTTCTCTATGTTCCATCTAAGCCTTTCTTTTTCTTCCATGCGTAATATAATTAATAGGAGGTCCCTGATTATGGCACCAGCTGTAGCCGCACGCCGAGATGAAAATGACGGCGGTGCTGAGAACATGTCGATCTTCTTGGCTGTCTTGGCTGTTTTGGCTTGATTGGTGAAGGAATAATTGCATGACGAGCAGCCAGTTATCAGCACCTTGCCGACAAAATATCAAAAGGTGATGTATAGAATCAAAGTCGATGAAATCACGTGTGACTCGTGGTGGATTGACTGACTGGGAAATCGTGACAGGGGGAAAATAAAGACACGTTAATGTTGAGCTATAAATCACTATTTAAGCAAATGACCAGAAAATCACTTTGAAAAGCGCATATTAAAAGAGCACTGAGCACCAAGTTTTAAATTTCAGGCCTATGGTCTCTGAGTTCTTGACGTAGTGCATCAGCGGCTGCTAAATATTCCCCCCGCCAAGTCCATTTTTGTTGGCCTTGAATGCCTGAAGTGTAAACACCGTGTTGTCCGTGCGTTGCGGATTGGGGCTGTGGAGGAAGATAAGGGAAGGTTGCAGTATGTGTATTGCGTTTGTTGCGTTGCTGGTGTGGTAGAACTGCTAGTTGTAGATGCTGGCCAAATTTTCACGATATAAATTCTTCAATCAAGTAACGTGACGCAAGACAGTGGTTCCGGCTTGTGGACAGCAGATTTGAGTGGAAATTGACATTGGCATGGAGGATCCTTTCTACCTAGTCAGGGAGTAAGTGCCTTAGTTGTTTGGGTATCTCAGAACCTGAGGTATCTAGGAATTTTTTTCTCTAACAACACTTCTACTGACTAATTTGCTGTTCTCTTTTTGCACTTTTTTTTGGCTATCCTGGTACGTTAATCTGGGTAAGCAATGTGGTCACAATGTTTGTCATATGCTACCCTAGAATACCTACCCACCTGGTGCATTCCACAAAAGATTCACAGAAATGGTCCAGCCATCAATTGTTTGGTTTGGGACCTGCTTCTGCAGTGTTGCTGTGAGCCACCTCCAGGGTCAGCTTACAGACCAGACAGGAAACTCTGGCATGTTTTGACGAAATCTAGTTTGGTCACTGATGCTGTCCCAAGCAGTGGCTAACCAACAGGGAGCTATTGCTCCCCTCCCCTTCTCTCCTTGTGGATTTAGCAGGGTATCTAGACAACTCTTTGTTGGTTTTAAGTGTTCTATTGTCCTCTAAATAAAGAAACCTGAGGCATGTAAATAAGATCTTGAGCCTAGCAATCTTCTTCATATTAACAAATCAGGGCCCCTGCAATGACAACTAGGGAACCCCTTGCTTTATAGGGTACATGAGATGGTCATGGATCCAGAAAGCTTGAGGGGGAGAGGGAGGACTCTCCAGGAGGGGGCCAATTTCAATCAAGGGAGTGCCAACTATACACCAAGAAAACTGTTTTGAATGCTCATTTGTTATGGCATTGCTGAAAAGACCATAAATATTCACACTTGGCTATATGGGCTTGCATCCTGTAATACTGTCATGACATTGCAATACCCAGCATTCTTATTTGTTTTACTTCTTGCCTTGGATCGACAAATCACATGTACAGAATATGAAAAAGTCACTCACATTTTATGTTATTCAGCATTTACAGAAGACCCCTAATGTTATTGAGCTTTCACAGAAGATCCCTAGGTTAAGAAATTACACCAGTTGTTTGCTTTTGATTGTTGCAATCATTAACCTTAAGAAATACACACTTGGATAATTAACTTGTCCATATAAGATTATTGCATCCTCTATCTTAAGCTGGTTTCAGACCAATCCACTGGCAGCGCAAGCTACCTCTAATCTTGAAAGACGCACATCAATTTGTAACAGCTAGTATGCTGGTCTGCTTTACTTTGGTGTTTTGGATACAAAAAGAGTGTGTGTACATTGCAGGCATCAGGAAAAAATGCTTTGTGGTGCATTTGTTAAAGACCCCTAGATCCTGTTTTTGAGGCTGGGAGCAAAGCTCTTGGAGAACAGTGGCCACATTGTTACCAACCGACTGTTCATAGGCTTGCAGAAATCAGAATGCTTCCAAACACTCTGTAGTCATCATTGACCTGATCAGCATCGCCACGAGGTTGACACAACTGAGCAGCCACTCTGGTTCGGCCATTGACACTAACAGAACAGGGAGCACCCCAATGAGCTTGTGGATGTAGGAAAGCAGGAGGTCCGCGCACCTGTGCAGTGTCCGTATCACAGATCTTGGCAGCCCATTCTTTCATTTCCACATTTCCAGACAGGTGTTGAACTCGGTCTCAACAGCTGGTGCAGGGTCTAGAAACCGTGCATACCATGTCACGGTCGGCTTCATTGCTGTCCAGCTCTTCATGCTTTATGGAAGCAAGCCACAGAGTTTGAGTGACTGCAGCTGCGGCTGGCCGAAACTGGCGTAGAGACGGGGGACGGGGACGCTGTCTAGCAGGGAATGAAACAGTTCGCCCTGAAGTAGTTTGCAGCATCCCGGCAATCGCCCGCGTAAGACCGGTACGCCGGTCCTGGCATACAGCGGGGAGGAGCGATATTGATCCCAAGGATCTGAGCTGCCTCACCTGCCTTTTCCATTACAGACCCAAACTTCCCTCTGGCTTCTCTCTGCATCCCCGCAGCAGCCTGATGCAGACATTCATGTGTTCTGCAGCGTCCGTGACGTCCAAGCCCTTGGCCTGGAGCACATGGGCGACTGGTTGCACCACATATGGCACGGTTTCAAGCGTCGACATTGCCACCGGAGATTCTGAGGAGGAGATTGTGCGCATCAGTATCTTGGCGTTATTCCGCGCTTCTGAAGAAAGCCGCGCGCTCGTCTTCGTCAGATAGTGGGCCACTGGTAACAGCAGCTGGCGGATGCGCGTGACTGTCTCGTGACGCTCCAGAAAACGCGTAGTGCAGAGCGTGATAAGCCTTTTCTCTTTGGGCGCCACTTTCTTAATGGCCTTCTTAAGGACTCTGGTCGAAGCACCAATGTCACCCAAGTCCAAAGAGGCCCATGAGGCCCTCGGGGTGCCGTGTTATTCTTTAGGACCTCTTTATCGCCCTCGTAACGTTGTTAGGCTTCAGGGACGCCCTAGTAGTACCCGGGAGGCGCCTCTCTAGAATTTGGGGTGTCATTTTATTTTACAGCGTCCTAGCCCAAATGGCCATTTTCGGATATTAGAGGAAGTCATCTGGGTTTTGGCCGTCCATTTAAATCTTGGAATATTTACGGACCCCAGGAGCTCCCTTTGAGCACTCGGGACTGTCCCTCAAGATTGTGTCTTTCTGTGTGGGCACCCTTTTGTAATTCAAGGAGTCTTTCTAGACATCAGAACACATTTTCAGACCTCAGAAACACTGTTGGAGCCCTTAGGGTGACCTTCCTGGGATTTGGACGCCTTTCTATTTTCAAAGGCGTTTTTTTTTTACCCTCCCGACATGTTTTCGTACGTCAGGGGTGCCTTATTGGCCATCGGTGGTGTCCCTTCAAGTTGTGAGGCCCCCAGACTTTTAAGTGCATCCGTCTAGACCTTGGAGCACATTTTTAGGCCGCAGGGACAACTTTTGGATCCTCGGAGGCGCCCCCCCCCCCCCTCCTCCCCCCTATGGTTTGGTGCGCCCTTTTTTCTTTTAAACATTCTGCTAGGCTTCGAGACATGATTTTAAGGGCGCCCTTTTAGCACTCGGTGGCTCTATCGCGGGATGGAACGCCGCTATGTGTTTTTAGAGCGTATTACACCTGGTCCTGGGACATATTTTGAACGTCAGCCCTTCCAACCCTCAGGGCACCCCTTCAGGGTTTGAGGCACCCTTTTATTCTTTAGGGCGTTCATTTTACCCTTAGGTTGCATCTTCAAGATCTTCAGGGGTGCCCCTTGAGCCATCGGGGGCGGCTGTCCAGTTGTTGGGGCGTTTTTTTTGTTTTTGTTTTTTTTTTGTTAAGGGCGTTCTTCTCGCGCCCGGATATCTGGGCGCCCGAATGAGTTCAGAGGGCGACCTTCCAGTCCGGGAGCTTTCGATGTCCTTGTATTTTGCAAGGCATCCTTCTGGAATTCGGGACATATTTTAAGACCACATGGGCGCCATTTCAGTCATCGGGGGCGCCTCTCCCTTTCCCCCAAGGTTTGAGGCACCTTTAGATCTGCATGACCATTAAACACCTTGCCCCGTTCCGGTCCGTGCCGGGCGTCCTTTAGGAGCGCCGTCAGAAACCGGCGCCTTAGAGCGGACCCTGGAGGGGTTCCTTTACGTTTCGATCGGGGGGGGGGGGGCGGGGCACGTGCCCGTAGTGCCCCCCTGGCTCCTCCCCTGCAATGAGATCCGTTTTGACCCGCGGTGATCCAGGGTAAAACCCTGGCGTCCCACTGACACCAAACAGGGGCTGATGATTAGGGGAGGAAAGGCAGAGGAAAGCTTAATTTTGGAGATAATAACCATTAAACCTATTCTGGCAAAGAAAGCAGCAAGTTAGGAGCCAGCTGCCCACCCCAGCCCCGGAGGGGTTATGTTGTCATTGGCCCTAGACATAAGGCATTGTCGCCTCCATAAGCCTCTTGTCAACTTCTCTTCCATGCTTTACTGGCGCGTTTGTCCGACATGCGCATAACATGTTTGTCTGACATAGTTAGTAGTTGCTGTGTGGCAGTGTTTCCGAACCTTTCTATGTCCGTTTCTCCCCGATGCTGCGTCATCTTACAATTTCCCCTTACATTAAGCAGCAGAACTCAGTCAACATAAACTATGCATATTTTTACCCCTTAATTTGAACAGCATCATGCAAGTAACTGACAAGAAGGTCCAGAGAAGTTTTGTACAGAGTAATTGCATTTGGGCAGTACAAATCAAATGACATACTGAACTCTCATCAGCTCGCTGCGCCCGAACACTTCATTTGAGTGGAATCACCGCCTCTGTTGTGGGCTCCTGTGGTGGATACTTTCAGCTTAGTGCATATGTTGCGTGCTGTTACACATCGTAGCATCACGTACAGTGAGCATGACTTGTTGACATCTCCTAAGTATTATCTTTTTTTAAAATCTGGCATGGTTCGGATACATCACAATTATCCCCTGATGCCCTTGTTTTTGCGCAGGGGAGAGGACTCCCTCCTGGCTGGGAATGCCTGCTCTATCAGAAAAGTGTTGCACTCTGATACAAAAGAAAGTTTTAAACGTTATGTTAGGATGTGTGGAGGAGGTGTATGGGCAAGGACTGCCAGGTGTCACCATCCAGCCAGTAGCATATATTTACTATAGTTTTAGCCTAGTACCTTGGTGTGGTGCTTCTCTCAGGTGTGTCGGTTGTCATAAGCAAGTGGTTATGTGCCCCTCAAAAGGGAAACACGATTCTTCTGATTTACTAGTTTGATGCTTATATTGTGATACAACTTTAAGCACTTCAAAAGTCTTCCAAAAGTAACTCAAAGATGAAACTACTATTACAGACCTAATAGTTCCTCCATCAGGCGGGTCTGGCGCTTAAGTGTGTACTCATTGTTTCAACCAGTAAGTTCCCTGGCTACTGGCTACTGAGACATTGTTTCAGCCGGTGAAGGATTTAATGGCGTACGAATTTCAGCCTTGTAGCCCCACAACCCGAACTGTTGCTCGGAACTGCTAGGATTTGAACCGGCTTCCTCCGATTGGGAGTCCAGCGCCCTACCTCTGAGCTAGTTCTTTCTGCCGGCTTAGCGCAGTGATGGAAAGGTGGGCTTGTAGTAAGATGCCCCTGGTTCAAATCTTAATAACTTCTAGGATGAAATTTGGGTTTGGACACGCGTGTAGATGAAACGGTCCTCCCAAAAACGATAACGGAAGCAAAAACTAAAACGGTGCTGCTATGGTCCAGTTCGAAGGACTCAGTGACGCATAATGATCACCAGAGGATCAACGCGGCTGAAACGTGTTTTGGAATTAACAAGTTCTCTATGTACCAGTGTGCTCCTTCTGTAACTAAGCAGCAGGAGCTGAGCTTTGTAGATTTTCTTTGTTGGCCAAGGCAGAGCAAGGCAAAGCACATAAAAAAACGAAACATGTAAGGTCTAAGCACACCTCGTGGGCTAGTTTCGTGACGTGCTGCAGCTTCGGCAGTGGTCAGATGTGGTGGACCGGAAGTGCCACGTTTAGACGTGCAGGCACGCAGAGTGCGGGTAAAAAGGGCTCCAAAGCAGGGGCGCGATGTCGTCGTCAGTTAGTGCTTCCAGCCCCCCCCCCCCCCTCCCCCGCCCCCCTGCTGTGGTAAGAAGGTATGCCAATCCGGGTAGAGAAACTTTTTGTTGCTTTTTGGGGCAGAAGATTTAGTCCCTTCTCCATGCTTACCCCCCCCCCCCCCAAACTCATTTTTGTGAAACTGCGCCCTGCTGAAATGTGGCACATCTTTAGTCCTCAACACTCGACTGCCGTAGGATCTGCCGCAGATTCTACAGACTTCAGTTGTTGCGGACGAGAGGCATCGTTTTTATTTTTTCCACTTCATGCCTTGCGGGCTCGCGGGCTTGTAACCGGCACCTCTAGTCTGCAACAGCTGACGGCTGCAGAATCTGAAGCGGATTCTGCTGCCAGTCCGCAAGGTGTGGACGAGCCTTAATGTGGACTAAAGGACACACCAAATGCACACTGGAGGTTCTTTGCTGTTTGCAAGATTTCAAATGCAATGTTAATTGGTACTCTGAGAAATGGTTCACTGTCTGATGTACTGATTGCCACCCCTGCCAAGTGGGCGCGAAACATGTGCTTGTGAGATCAGATTGCGGGAGGGATGCCCTTCAGCTCCTGTTGGGCTCCACAACCGTTAGTATCAGTCGGTAGACCAGACCAGCATGTAGATTGCGCCGGTTCTGGACTTGAGTATGGTAGAATTTGGGGGTACGGGAAATATGTTTCGTATTTCCAGACCGGCACGCATAACAGCTCGCCGATTGAATATTGTTGCTACCAAAATCGGTGCCAGTTCCTGTGAGATCCACCAGTTCGCGTGCTGAAAATGTTTGCCCGTTGTGACGATTTGAGTGTGGCAAAGCCCAGCGTCTCGCCGTAGCATTGATGTATGTCCGCCAGTGACGTGGTCAAGGCGCTGTCCAAGCTGCGTGGCCTGCACCAGCGCCTGAACGAGCTGGAGACGGTGCCGGCCACGGCCGCCGAGCGCACGTGGACCGAGAGCGAGCTGAGGAACGCCCTGCGCAGCACCGAGTGGGACGTGGAGGACCTCCAGGAGACAATCAATATCCTTTCTGACCGGCTGGTGTTGACCCGAGGCTGACCCGGATACAGCGCTGTGTTCAAACCCAGTTCTGCAGTCGCTCCTTGTTGTCCGTTCAGCTTAACTGCTCTCAGTTTCTCAAATGGTCTTAATTTCTGATGTTTGCTTGGCAGCGGTCCGATATGAAACATGTTACAAAATACGTTTTCCATTCATAACTTCGTGTCGCATTCGATCTCGTTTGTGTTCCTGTCCGAAGCCGTGTGGTTACGTTCCCCTTAACCGCGCCGCAAGCATTGTGGAGAAAAACCCGAAGCAGTTTAAGCTGGATGCGGCCGACCTGCAAGCGAGAAGGAGCTTCGTGAAGGCGACGCGCGACGAGCTGGGGCTGCTGAAGGAGCGGCTGAGCCTGAACAGGGCCGTGGACTGCGACCGCACGGCCAGGCAGGTACGCATCGGCCGGTCCGGCCCGCTCGCCCGCACGTGGACTGCGACCGCACGGCAGACAGGTACACGCCGGCCGGTCCGGCCCGCTCGCCCGCACGTGGACTGCGACCGCACGGCAGACAGGTACACGCCGGCCGGCCCGGTCCGCTCGCCCGCGGGTGGCTCAGTTAGAGCATGAATGCATGTTGCTAAATTGTTTGACCATACTGCCTTGTGTGCGATTATTTTTACATTGGCAATCACGGATTTAGTTGATCTGCCAACTAACAATACAGCTTGGGTGCTCGCTCTTCGGGGAATTCTCTTCTTTAGAATTGTCCTTGAATTTTCAAGGATAGTGGTGCATATATCTTACCGCATGTTGTGTATTGCTCAACTGGTAGTTAGCTGCTGGTTGCTGAGGGCTTAATGAAATGTATCACTGGCCTAGAAACATGTATAGTAGCTGATGGCTGACTTCTTAGCGTAGCGACAATGCGCGCTTGCTATGCTATTTTAAGCCCTTGCACATTTTTTAGATCCAGATTTGGCTTTGGTTTCGCGTGGTGCCCGGGACTGCATGCAGCCCACGATCATTGGCAACTAACATAAATGGCATGTTTCATAGGAATTGGAGGAAGCAGATGAACTTCCTCCGGCCTATAATGTGAGTAATTGGCTATAAGGAAGTATTTCCACGTCTGCATTGTCAGTCCATGGTGCGAAATCTTCACGAAAGACTGGCCCAAGAAGCAGGCATTGGAGGTGCATTGCGCGGTTTGCGAATGGATGCTGTTCACATTGTAGCCTTCCCTCCACTTGACCCGCTACAAATTGTGCTATAACTCTGCACCCCAGGGACTTCATGGCTTTCATGACCTTCTCTTCACTTTTACCGTTGGATGCATCGCTATCGGAGTTCGCAATTAAACCGTTGTAAATGACCGTTTATGAGATGCAGAACTTAGCGAGAGCTTGGCTATGAGATTCACATACTATGTGGAATATTGTGTTCACAACAGGCGTCCGGTGTCATTGTCCTCCCATCGATATTCGCCAGAATATAAACGTCGAATCCTTGTGTGAATGTGTAACAATCAAACGGTTCCGAACCATGAGCAAGCACCCTTTTGCTGGTGAACGTCTTGCATATGGGCATTACCGTGTAAACATACATTTTCCGCTAGCGGTATTTATCTGTGATGGAGCCGTTTCACCCAGCCTGAACCTTTAAGTCGCATATGTCTGACTTTTAAACAGTTCCCTCAGTCTGGATGAGCGCGTGCAGCAGAGAGAAGCGAAGTATGCGATGCCCCAGCCGGTTTCTGTCACCGTATGAGGGTAGAGACGTCGTTCTGACCCCGGCCCGATGCCCCAGCCGCTTCTGGACCACGCCAGCTCCCCTGAGCACGCCATCACCAGCGTCCCCGGCGTCGGGGGAAGCGGCGGCGGAGGAGGAGGCGGCGCTGGCGGGGGCTACAGCCGGCTGCGGGAGGACGAGCCAGACTCGCCGGCGCAGCAGCGGTGGCAGCCCGGCGCCCCGGCCGCCCCGGCCCAGCGCGGCGGCGCCGACGACCAGGCCATGTGAGAGGCGCCGCCGCCGTAGCGCGCGCCGGCGGGGGGCGGCGTGTCGCCTGGACTCGGAGCTGTCCCGAGGCCGCCGGCAGTGACGGGTGGTGCGGCACGGCCCGCTAACAGAGGCAGCGGTGGGGTCATCTGCCAGCGCGCGCCGGCGGGGAGTGGCGTGTCGCCTGGACTCGGAGCTGTCCCGAGGCCGCCGGCTGTGACGGGTGGTGCGGCACGGCCCGCTAACAGAGGCAGCGGTGGGATCATCTGCCAGCGCGCGCTAGAGCCGTTGAAGTGCATGAGCTGGGAGCGTGAGTGCCGTGGTCACCTGGCCCAGACGTGTGCTATGACAGCCTGTGGTGGTGAAAGTGTCGTCGGTCTCGACCCTGCTGCCCCTCACGGCGGGTGTGCCTTGCTCGTCATGCTTGGGCGCACATTGCGCGTGGGGCTTGTGTCGGGGTGCCAGGAGGGATAGGAGTTTGTTCCGATGGTACGTATTAAATATGATTGCCCTGCTTACGTCCTGAAAGCTTTCTGAAGTTGGATGTTGTGATCACCGAAAGTTTACCTTGTTTTATATCCGACATACAATTGCAGAACACTTCTTGTACACTTTGTTAATCCGTGAAGGTCCACTGCATCCTCGACTTCTCTCTTGAGCACCTTACGCATGTTGACGAACCTCGTTTGCAGCATGGTGGACGACACGGTCCCTGAGGTAGCCACGACCCAGGGGAAGCTGGCCAGACCCCTGAACAAGGTGCTGAAGGTGCTGCACCTCTCCAACGGTCAGTGGCTGGGTGGCGCCCTATCGCGCTCCCTGCGTGCGGGGCTGCTAGAGGATTGTGGTTCACTCTCCGAAGTTCTTCAGGCCTGGGCCGTCTGCTGACAGTGTGGCAGCCTCACTGTCGGCCGCCTGGTGTCGGCGCTACAGCTCGTCAGGCCTGGGCCGTCCGCTGACAGCGTAGCGGCCTCGCTGTCGGCCGCCTGGTGTCGGCGCTACAGCTCGTTAGGCCTGGGCCGTCTGCTGACAGCATGGCAGCCCCACTATCGGCCGCCTGGTGTCGGCACTACAGCTCGTTAGGCCTGAGCCGTACGTGGACAGTGTGGCGTCCTCACTGGCGGCCGCCTGGTGTCGGCGCTACAGCTCGCTGATGCGTGTACCGTTCTGTGCCGTGCGACCGTCGGGTGCTGCCGGCCGTCGCTCAGCGGGACGGCCGGACGTGACCCGCCTCCGCGTCTGTCCGCAGAGCGGCGTCAGTGGACCGCCATCGGCGTGCTCTCCGGCCTCATGCTGGCCGCTGTGCTCATGCTCTTCTTCATCTAGTCTTCGACCGGCCTGCGGGCTGGCCGCACCGCGCCGGCCTCAACCCTCCGCTCGCGGCCACGGACGGAGGCGGCGGGTCTGTCCGCTCTCCGGGCCTCCAGGGAGTTATACCGCCCGGCAGCGCGCGGTGGCCGACGCGCAGGGGCGCCAAAGAGCCGATAGCTGTTTTTCGTTGCGCCGCGCCGGGGTAGCGTTTTTATTATCGCATTACAGCGTAGTCAGTGTACGTCGATTTGATTTCAACGAGGCATTCCGTGTCGGGTCAGCTCACACCGAGATAGGGAGAGCAGCTCGAAGTAAGTAGATAGTCCGGGTCGCTGTTCGGCCGCGTGGTCTCGTGCGCCAGCCAAAGAACCGCCACGGTGCTGATCGAAGCAGTGTGGTGTAGGGGATGATGTGCAAACAGGAGCTGTCCGCCGCTGCGTGACCGGGAGCGGCGGTGGTTCTCTAATGTGCCAGGCAATCATTTGTGATTTATGCGCGGTAATTTTGATGAGCTTGTACTTGCGGCCGTGACACGTCAGTCTGTTTGATCAGGTGGCTTGTTTAACCGAATATGGTATTATCCTGTGCAGCTTTGTCGGCCTTATTTTTGATCCTGTGTGATTTGATAATTGTCTGGTGAAGGACGGCTTTTGTGGTTTAGTCGTGTGATATCCGTGGCATGGTATATTATTAAACTCTTCAATCAAGTATCCACGTGCTAGTCATTTGTCGTGCTCACTCAGTGGTCTTGCGTCTGTTCGTTTTTGTATGGGCTGAATTTCAGTCGGCGCTGGCGAGATCTGCTGGCGACCAGCTGTGTGACCTTGAACGACGTTTCCACGCGCCTAGGTCGGCCAATCGGCGGCGGCGTGCAGTCCTGGTCTGGGAGGCCAGCTTTTGCTGGTTGGTCTTCCAGTCAGAAATTACTATTCCTAGGGCGTGAAGTAATCTAGCGATTGTATATGCTATTGAATTATGCCAACATGAATTACGCCTATAAACAAACTCTTACGAATCGGTGAAATGACGGTTTGTATAGCGATGTGGCAGAAACTCTTGAAGGCTGGCGGGCAAGGTGCAGCGTAACGGAACGCGAAGCAAGCGCCTCCTAATGAACTGGCGTCAGCGGTATATGCTGGAGCATGACTCGGCCCAGGTGCGGGCGCAGCACCATATGACAGCAGTGCGTTAGCACTCTACAGGATCGCTGACAAAGAACAAGAGAGAAATGCACTTGGCATGTGAATGCGCAGATTATCCCGGGTGGTCCGGGCAGCGGCCTCTGCGTCGTGTGCGACTCCTTTTTGTTCGAGGGAATGCTATGCCGCAAAACAAAAGCACCAGTTCGCCCCGCTTCGTCCACACGCGCCAGCAGACCGCGTTTCTTGTTCGAAAAGGAGATATTGGTATTCACGACAGTTACAATCTGCAGCGTGTGTTTTGCTTTGACTGTCGGTACGCCCCAGGTGCGCCATAATTCAAAAATGCGCCTGCTGACTGAGCTGAAAGAGGCGTTTGTGGTGCACATCCGCAGCGCTTGTGTCCCCTGACTGGTGTGGATCCCTATGCTGCCACTCTGCCGCTGTCGCCGGTGCGGGGACCGGCCGCCACCTCAACCGGGTCACGTGACGCGTCTCGGGGATCAGTATAGGGGGCACCGCTGTCGTCGGCTGCAGTCTGAGCTCGCCCCTCCCCCTCTCCCTCCCTCCTCCCCTGGGTGACTTCTCACACACAGGCAAAGGTGAGAGGATGCTGACATTTTGATCCAATGACACTGGGTGCGAGTCCCAGAACGGACGCATTTGGCTCGACAGCAGGCATGGAAAGATCGGCTCCCGGCTGACCACTGACGCGAGCCGGGCCCGGAGGGGCTGCATTCCGCATACTGACGCGAGCCGGGCCCGGAGGGGCCGCATTCTGCATACTGGCGTGCGGCACGTACAGTTCTGCGGAAACGCGTGTGCCACAAGTCCTTTGGCACACCCAACGAGCTCTGTCACCCAAACACTGAACCCGGAACCAAACATGCAAAGCATCTATGATACATTTGAATCGTGACTCTCGTACAGGTACAACGCGCTGAGAGGACGACTCACGCAATACTTCCCAAGGGTGACATGTGAAAGGGATTGGGCTGACCTAAAAATATTTTGTCACTTTCCCGCGAAATTTTGGTACATGTGTTTTTGGTCAGGACCATGGTTTTTGCGCTGAGTTAATTCAGCGAGCTCTTCGTCTCCAGCCTTAGCCCAATTGGGAGCGAGTGCACCCCTACCACCTTGTGGTATATAACTGCGTTCAGGGATGTCACTTTTATACTTCCGGGGGAGCCTCCAACGCTGACTTGACTCTCAGATACTCTGTTCTGCCTCTGAGCCCTGTCAGTGC